TGTCCCTTTAAGTCTCCTCTCCGAAATAATAAAAAAATTCACTTGGAATTCTTAAACAATTTGCATTATAGTGAATGCTTCTGAAAGTAAATAAAGGCTAATGGACAAACAAACTAACTTATTAAATGTCCCCCAAACATTAAAAGTGAACTATTACTCTGTTTATTTGTGTGTTCCAGGATTTCGGGGTACTGGGAAAAGTGGAGTTCTAGTTGAGTTCAGTAAGCTCTCATTTCATTTTCGTTCCTATGGCGATCTCACTGACCAAGAATTAGAGGAAATATGTGATTTCCTGTATCAGAAAGTGACATCGAGAGAGAAAGCTGCGCTCTCTCAGCTTAAATCTTGCTACAACATATTCCGCAGGTGAGTGCTTTGTAAGCAGAATGGTGCCTTTTTTCTGATTGTGAGGATAATTCCATGAGTTGTATAACTCCTTGTGAGCCTGCTTCGGTTAGTGCTAGTACTCCGTGATTGGAACATCTCGTAGATCATTGTGAGGCTGCTTCGATGAGTGCTAGAACTCAGTGAATGGAATGTCTTATAGCTTATTGAAAGGCTGGTGTATGCTGAGTGCTATGACGATAGGAATGTATCACAGCTGATTTTGAAGATATTAAAGGGACACTGTAGACACTATAACCATTTCACCTTATTGAATTGGCTATTGCTGCCCTGACTAATTACCTGGGGAGTACCTGGCACAGGAGCTTCACCTATAGGCATCAGGTGGAAGCTTAACTGTTAATAAATTGGGATGGACCGGTACCATTTGCCACCTAGGGCAGCAGTTGGGGGCTCCGTTAAAAATGTAGCGCGACATACTAAAGTTACCCCAAACCCCACCAATTAGACGCAGGTAGGGGCTCTAAAATTAACCGGGACATACTCTAAACTGTGGTGGGTGGGAAACATTGTTTAATAAATAAGATCCCATTGACATGGATGCCAATAAAGTTACTGTTTTGTTTGGTTTCTTTTCTCCTAGCGTGGCATACAGGACAAGCAGTGCATGCGCAGAACAAGTCAGTGCAGAACGTAGCTCTCAGCTCAAGTCTCTGCTTCTGGAATACTTTGAGAAAAAAGACCCCTTAGACATGTTGGGAGGTGATAATATCGAAGAGGAGGAGCTAATTGATTTAAAGGTAACACTTCACAAACTGCAAACACACTACTTGTGTGTATTCAATACTTGTATTTGGCTCCTATTTGTGCTGCATCATTCTCCATATTCAAATCTGTTTGGTTGTGCTAAAAAATTATCCAGTGTAGCTCCCCCTCTTTAGCTATGTTCCATCTTTTCACCTAAGTTTCACAGTTTCCTTTGCAACCATAAAAACATTTTGTAAAAATGGGGAGGAGTAGATTATACTCAAATTATACTTCAGACTGACAACTAGCAGAGGTGCTTCCTTCCTGGAGACCAGCTTCAATTTGCAAAAGTGTTTATATTGGGCATTCTCACAAAAAAGGTGTTTTTTTTTACATCCTCATTGTTCCTTTCGTGTAGAAATGGCAATAGTTTTGGGTATAAGGAGATGATCCAGTGAGAAACATGAAAGCAGCAACGACGTGTGCATAATACTAAAATGTTCTGATTATTTATCACCTAGAAAACCAAAAAACATTGTTTTATCAGTCTGAAATAATGTCTGTCCATCCTAAAAAGGAAATCAATAAATCAACCCCAGCTTTAATCCTCTGTCTGTACTTCCTGTTAGCTCCTTTCATGATGGACCTGAGGTATACTGCCATTTTGTTGTTGGTTTTGTATCTATTCTTTTTTTTTTTTTCTCCTTTAACTCCTGTCATTTTTATCTGTTACAGTTGCAGGATTGGAAAGACCATATCTGCTCTGATGTCCGTCTTTTTCTATCTATTCGCCATGATGAGCGTTTTTCTGGCAGAGCAATAGCACGGATCTTCCACGGAATAGGCATGTACTGACATAACACTGTGTGAGATTGTGTAACATTGCAAATTAATGCATTTGTGTAAACAGTAGGGTAAATATTACACTTTCACAAAACTACAGAAATTAATTTAATACAAATAGACTGGGGTGGGAGAACAATATTCAAATATATACGAACAATATAAAACAAAAGAACTATCTCAAAGATATAGTGTTACTTGACAGTGCCTGAAAGGTAAAAGCTGCTCAACACTAAAAGTGGAATACCCCTTACCCACAATAAAGAACAAATACAAAAAATAAGGTATAAATATTATACCAAACAAGTGGAGCGCTCTAAACAGTAGAGGGGTTTACTCACCCCTTTTAATGCAGTGACAATATTGAGAAGCTTGAATAAACATAAAAGGGAACAAGAAATATAGTGCAGACGGTTTTCCAAATAGACAATTGATGGTAATAAATTACCTAAACCACTCACATGGACAGGAGCCTATACAATATTGGCTCCGTAAAAAGATCCTTTGTCCCAGGCAGTATCCCTCCAGGAATATACAACGAGAGAGAAAACAGAAAATCAATTGTGTAGAAAAGCACATACTATATTAGTATTAAAGGGTGTAAATAGTTGGACTCACCTTTTCCAGAGCCCTGAAATCCCGGCTCTGAGGTTGATAAACAATGTGCTACTTTTAGGGGGGAATAGCACTGTCCCCAATGGAGTTCCTGACGGCTAGAAAGGACTTTGGACTAAAGTGTAAAATAATAATGTATAAATTTATTGACAATAAAATCAAAATAAATACATACTAAAAAAGTAAAAAATCAAGTGTTAAGTCCAATTGAAAGTCCAGAATAATCAGCTAAACGCGTTTCACTCTATGAGCTTCCTCAGTAGCTGTATAGTAGCCTCAGGAATCCTTCTTCTTTTTAAATGTTTGAAAGTCCTTTGGAGGACCTACAAGGACTTTCAAACATTTAAAAAGAAGGATTCCTGAGGCTACTATACAGCTACTGAGGAAGCTCATAGAGTGAAACTGCAATCGGTTAATGGGTGCCACACGACCCTCTGTGTGTGGACTCCTGGTTGGTATCTCATTCGTTTTACGAACAGCAGGTAAAGTCCCTGTTCGTGAAACGAACACATGAATGCTAGCGGCTTTCAGCTGCTAGCATACGAATGCTTTAGGATATAACAGTACAGGCATACATTAGAATACAACAGTCCAGCGGCTTATACAGACAACCTTTGCAGATACAGCCATGTAATCTAAAAGTGGCTAGATTTGCCACAGAGTTTAGTTTACCGTCCCTTTTAAATAGAATGTTAACGTTTATATAGCTCTCCTTACAACTTTACTGTAAAAGTATACATGTCAACAACTATCATGATCACTAAAATTATGTATCCATGCCACGTTCTTAATAAAAACGTATTTTAACCCAAAAAATGACCGTAAAGCCAATATTTGCATTTGTTCTCCTGCCATTTGCAAATTAAATTAGGATCTGGGTGGGAGCTTAAATTACCCATGGGCAGATACAGTGAGGGAATAAAGTATTTGATCCCCTGCTGATTTTGAATGTTTGTCCACTGACAAATGATCAGTCTATAATTTATGTATGTGTATTTTAACATTGAGAGACAGAATAACAAAAAATAATCCAGAAAAATGCATGTCAAAAAAGTTATAAATTGATTTGCATGTCAATGAGTGAAATAAGTATTTGATTCCCTATTAATCAGCAAGATTTGTCTTCCAGGTGTCTTTTATACAGGTAACGAGCTGAGATTAGGAGCACTCTCTTAAATAGTCTCGACTCATTGCCTGTATAAAAGACACCTGTCCACAAATGCAATCAATCAGATTCCAAACTCTCCAATATGGGCAATACCAAAGAGCTGTCCAAGGATGTCAGGGACAAGATTTTAGACCTACACAAGGCTGGAATGGGCTACAAGAATAGCAGCTGGTGAGAAGGTGACACAGTAGGTGCGATTATTTGCAATTGGAAGAAACACAAAATAACTCTTCATCGGTCTATTGCTCCATGCAAGATCTCATTTTGTGGAATTTCAATGATCATGAGAACGGTGAGGAATTAGCAGGAGGATCTTGTTAATGATCTCAAGGCAGCTGGGACCATAGTCACCAAGAAAAAAAAATTGGTAACACACTACGCTGTGAAGGACTGAAATTGTGCAGTGCACAAAAGGTCCCCCTGCTCAAGAAAGTACATGTACAGACCCATCTGAAGTTTGCCAACAAACTTCAATTCAATGATTCAGAGGAGAACTGGGTGAAAGTATTGTGGACAAATGAGACCAAAATTGAGCTCTTTGGCATCAACTGAACTCGCCGTGTGTGGAGGAAGAATGCTGCCTATGACCCCAAGAACACCTTCAAACATGGAGGTGGAAACATTATGCTTTGGTGACGTTTTTCTGCTAAGGGGACAGGACAACTACACCAAATCAAATGGGCGATGGACGGGGCCATGTACCGTCAAATCTGGGATGAGAACCTCCTTCCCTCAGCCAGGCTATTGAAAATGGGTCATGCATGGGTATTCCAGCATAACAGTGACCCAAAACACACAGACAAGACAACAAAGGAGTGGCTCAAGAAGAAGCACATTAAGGTCCTGGAGTGGCCTAGCCAGTTTCCAGACCTTAATCCCATAGAAAATCTGTGGAGGGAGCTGAAGGTTCAAGTTGCCAAACATCAGCCTTGAAATCTAATGACTTGGGAAGGATCTGCAAAGAGGAGGGGGACAAAATGCCTCCTGAGAGGTGTGCAAACCTGGTGGCCAACTTCAAGAAACGAAGGGTTTTGCCACTGAGTACCAAGTCGAAATGGCCAAATACTTATTTCACTCATTGACCTGCAAATCATTTTATAACTTTTTTTGACCTGAGTTTTTCTGTATTTATTTATATATATATATTTTTTTTTTTTTGTTATTCTAGCTCTCACTGTTAAAATACACCTACCATTAAATTTATCGACTGATCATTTCTTTGTCAGTGGACAAACGTTCAAAATCAGCAGGGGATCAAATCCTTTTTCCACACTGTAAACACTGGATGTTGAGTTAAAGGCTTCCAAATCCCCCTGCCTCCATTATAAAGCATACTGCCCAACCTTCTAGTGATGCATAACTTCAGTAACTCCTGTTTCTTCAGAGAAAATATCTTGTTGGCATCTAAAACTGTAAGTGAGTTATCCCCTTTAATTTTGTGGTCTGTGACCCTTGCAAAATCTGATTACACATGAAGGCTCACATTCATGTTCTGTTCCACAGCTAGCCCCTGCTATCCTGCTCAGGTGTATGGAAGAGATCGGCGGTTCTGGAGGAAATATATCCATCTCGATTTCAACAAAATCATGCAGCTCGCCAAGGAGGAGATTATCCATCAGAAATGATAAAACCAGACATTGTGCAGAGAATACATCCACTAAAAGAGTTCTGGGATATTTGGGGAGGGGATCATGCATCCACAAGAAACGTCATGTGACCTGGTGGGGTAGAGGCAGGTAACTTGGGGAGTGTAAAGATGGGAGATCATGCATTAACAAAAAGTTCCATGGACAAGAAATTGTCCACAAAAAGAGACCTGTATGACATGGGTGGGGTGTAAGGGCATGAGAGCCGCATAACATGAACTATCAGGGAGGGAGGGGGAATATTGGGACGGGAGAGCTGTGTGACATGGGGCAAGTGTCAAGGTAGGAGTGTCAGGATGGAAGAGCTGTGTGACACTGAGGATATTTAAGGGTAGAAGAGCTGGGTGACATTGGGAGTGTCGAGGCGGGAGAGCTGGGTGACATGGAGTGTCGGGGCGGGTGAGCATACATTCACAAGAACTGAACTGGACTAAGTAATAAAAGGATCTGCTAATATTAGATATGTCTCTTGAAATCTAATAATTGGTTATACTGTTTATAAAGAGACTGTTTTATTTTGTTACTGTGTTTACTTGTAATAAAGATTAATTTTATTTTTTTACTTACACCCTAAATTCTATCTTTTAGAGTTGATACAAGTCCAGAATGACAAAGTCCCATTTCCACACATTCCCATTAATCCACTGAGCACTATAAGAAAATTACATGCTCATTAGCCCACATTGGTGGCTAAAAAACTTTATTGTGAATGATTGTTGTAATGGACCATCCATCAATCGATGCTCCTAGTGCTTACCAACGACCATCAGCACCGCACCAGACACCATAAGCACTGCAGACCCCACAAACTGCTGCAGCTTGGTTGGGGTCTCGCCTTCTCCTACCCACCCTGGACCCACAACCAGGCTCCAGGGGGTGAACCTCTCTTCCTTCAGAGAGCGAAGCAGGAACAGCTCTTATAAGAGCTAGTGATTAGAACCCAGGGGAGTATACAGAGTATAGCAATCCCCAGTGTGATTATAGCAGTTCCCCCTCCAATCACGAGACAAGACTACGTGTTGAGGGTCAAAAAGGAACAGAAAGTTTGGGGGCGTGGCCGACAGCCGGCGGGAATGGTCGCATAAACGCAGCGCTCCTACCCGATCGGCAAACAGCGACAATTTAAAGCGACTTAAACTGCTTGCACATACCATCAACCTACCCCCGTCGATCACAGACAAGCTACCCCATCCGATGGCAACGAAAAGCAAACCGAAAGTAGACAAGGCGGCATTTTTTGCGCAGAAAACCGCAAAGCATAAAAAACCGCCGGAGAGGGAACAAGATGGCGCCGATGAAGGAGGGGAAGCACAAACATCAGATACAGAGACGGAAACCCAGGTACAAAATGAGGGGCCAATTACTGAATCCAGAATGAAAACTCTGCTGGAAAAATTAAACACATCTCTGTTACACCAATTTAAAGAGGTCATAGCAAATTTAAATAAGGATGTGGCAGAACTGGGCGAACGCACTTCACATATAGAAAATAAAATGGCGGAGCACGCAGAGGCCCATAACAGCATGGCTGACGCTATGCAAGAATTGGAACATAAACTCCAAGCCCACGAAGACAAGCTCATTGACCTAGAAGATCGTTCCAGGAGGAACAACGTGCGCCTGAGAGGCGTCCCAGAAGAAATAGATGGCAAACAGCTGCTTCAATATACTACAACATTTTTTGCTAAACTCATACCGGAGGTAGACCCAGAGCTTCTGATTATAGACCGCATACACAGAGTCGGGAGGCCAAAACATATCCCGATCTCATCGCCACGCGACGTGTTAATGAGGATTCACTATTTCCACGTTAAGGATCAAATTATGAAAGCTAGCCGGAAAAACCGACCCTTGGCAGAATACAAAGCGCTTCAAATTTACGCAGACCTTTCCCCTGCCACTCTAATGCAACGCAGGAACCTAGCGCCCATCACAACCGCTCTACGGGCGCAAAGCGTGCCTTATCGCTGGGGATTCCCCACCAGGATCCAAGTGCTCAAAAATGGAATTATCCACTCAATCAAAACGGTGGAAGAAGGACGTAAACTCCTGAGGGACTGGGACATTCCATTACAGGAGCGGAATCAACCACCGGCACCCGGCCCTAAACGGCTAAGCCCTGAGTGGCAAAAAGCACCGTGACCTGCACCGAAACAATCAGGACATTATATATTCTAAGATGGAGAAGGAACGAGGGTGTCTTATGGGTAATGTAACTAGTGTTGTTGCATTTCATGTTTAGGTGGGTATGCGGTGTTACACACCTGGGGCTGGGGTGAGGGCTACTCAAATAGCACAGGCCCCGGAGGGAAAGGGCAGGGTTGCAGCGATGCCAATTCCCAACAGGGGAAGAGCTAGATATATTGCCTCACAGGCAATATCAGTTCCCACAAAGTTATGGGTTTTTGGGCATAATATATAAAAAAAAAAAAATCATACTAGATAAATAGAAACTGGTGACAGGGACAACAGCCTCGATGGGAGGTAGAAAAGACGTATTCTTAATTGCAGTAATAGAGTTTTAGCCGACACCGGTGGAATGGGTTCGAACACTGGCAGAGGCTACCTTTACCACGACCCCTGATAGTTGCCTAGGCCCACAGGAAGGCAACTCCAGACCCCTAGGGGTCAACTCTTGGGCCATTATATGTGTTATATATGTTGTTTTACTGTATATAAGTTATACCCTGTTATGTTGTTCTACTCCCCCACCCTGTACTCACTCCCAACACTCTCGCAAATCTATAACAAAGGTGCTCATACCCAACCCAGAAAAACTACGACGACACCCAGATATCTCAGCCACCCACATAAACATTCATGAAAATAGTCACGTATAATGTTAAGGGGCTGAACACCCAACATAAACGTACCCTCCTGTACAGAGACCTATCCAAATGGCACAGTGACATAGTGTGCTTACAGGAGACCCATCTAAATAAACAACCACAAAAACCCCTGTATCCCCGGACGTATAGTAGACAATTTCACTCCACTGCAAATAAGAAAGCGAGGGGGGTCTCCATTCTGGTAAATGACAATGTTGCGTTCACTCTCCTACGTAAACTTTCTGACCCCACGGGCAGGTACTTGATTCTGGTCTGTATGGTGAATGAAGTCACATACACCATAACAAACGCCTATTTCCCAAACTCCAACCAAGCCCAATTCCTAGAAACACTATGTAACAAGATAGACAAGATCAAACAGGGTGCCCTAGTGTTGTGCGGGGATTTTAACTTTATCACAGAACCAACCCTGGACTCATCAGCTAAGCTTACAAATAAGAGATTAAAAGCATTACAGGGCTCTTGCAAAACTCTAAGATCCCGTCTTCACTTCCATAACCTACTTGATGTATGGCGCACTCTACATGACCACGAGAAAGACTATACATTCCACTCAGCGGTACACAACTCTTACACAAGACTTGATCGCTTCTACACCTCACCCACAGCCCTGACCCAAATAGAGAAATGTGTGATAGGACAAATAACATGGTCCGATCATGCACCAGTCTTTCTATATATTAAAGACACCCACACACATACTGGGAAGGGGTTCTGGAGGCTCAACGAATCCCTACTCCATGATCTAGACTTTATTAAACACGTACGGACAGAACTGTCAGACTATTTCACTAGGAACGATAACGGGGAGACGTCCCTGGAAACGTTGTGGCTGGCCCACAAGGCGGTGATTAGGGGTATTTTTATAAAGAGAGCAACTTATCTAAAACGGAAAAGGGAATCCCAGATGACAACATGGCTCCAACAACTAGAGATACTGACGAGACAACACAAGCGTGGAATATCAGGTGACCTGGCAGTCCAAATCAAGACACTAAAATCCCAGATAGACGAAGCCAACCTACTGAAAACAAACTACCAGATACAGAAACTAAAGGCCAGGTTCTATCACCAGGGAAATAGGGCGGGCAAAGTGCTAGCCAACCTACTTAAACATAGACAGGCGAAACACCGCATCTCATCCATAAAAATTTCCAACACGGAAACGGTCCACAAACCCCAGGAGATTAGTGAAGCATTTGCAACATTCTATAAAGCCCTGTATAACTTAGAATCAGACCAAACCGAATCAAGGCCATCAGGGGTTCAAATCCAGAACTTCCTGGATAGGGTGTCCCTCCCAAGCTTGACCGCTGACCAAAAAGCATCTTTAAACGCACAAATCTCGACTGACGAAATCCTTCGGACTATAGCGAAGTTGCCCCCACACAAAGCTCCGGGACCAGATGGCCTTACATGCAAATACTATAAAGTCTTTGGAGACCTATTAGAACCATACATGACAAAGCTATTTAACTCAACTCACCAGGAAAGAGGCTTACCGCCAGACATGTTATTAGCCAACATCATTACACTACCTAAACCCGGGAAACAACCCAATGAATGTAAAAATTTCAGACCCATATCGCTGCTTAACGTAGACGCAAAGATTTATGCCAAATTGTTAGCCAACAGACTATCCTCAATCATACCTACGTTAATAGGGAAAGATCAAGTGGGATTTGTGGCCGGGCGCCAGGGGGCAGATAACTCCCGGAGGGTGGCGGACTTGGTGAGCCACATGAGAAAGGCCGGGACCGAGGGCCTACTGCTCTCGCTGGACGCGGAAAAAGCGTTTGACCGGCTGGGCTGGGGGTTCTTGGTCGCGGCCCTGGACAGGTTTGGCATCCCACGGGGTTTTATATCCCAAATAATGGCCCTTTACAATAGACCAACAGCGGTGGTGTCCACAGGCGGCTATACATCTGCCAGATTCCAAATCACAAACGGCACAAGACAGGGTTGCCCACTGTCGCCGATTTTGTACATATTGGCGCTCGAACCGCTCGCAGAACTGATCAGATCCACACCCGACGTCCACGGCGTTACTATCAGAGGTGGAGAACACAAGCTTAGCCTCTTCGCCTATGACGTTCTGATCACAATGACCCAACCACTAACATCAGTTCCAGCAGTCCACAAAATCTTAATGGAATATGGAGTTGTATCACATTACAAACTCAACGAATCTAAATCCCAGGCAATGGGAATAAATCTAACAGAGGCGACTGCCCAAAACCTTCAATCACAATATAGGTTTGAATGGTCAGACTCACACATAAAATTCTTAGGACTGTGGCTATCACGCAACCCCCAGAATCTTTTTGGGGACAACTATGTGAGAGTCTGGAAAGAAATAGAACACACTATGAGGGAATGGAAAGACAAATACGTATCGTGGGTAGGCAGGGTAGCTGCCTTCAAAATGATGCTGCTACCTAAATTACAATATATCTTCCGCCTATTACCGATAGCAGCGCCAACCTCCTTCAAAAAAGCACAGAATGAACTGACGAGATTTGTGTGGGCAGGGAAAAAACCCAGGGTGGCCATGAAACACTTAAATAGAAGCTACATTGAAGGTGGCCTGGGAGTTCCTGACCTCCTCTTATACCACAAGGCGGCTGTGCTAGCACCACTGACACAGGTAGACACGACAAGAGACCGCCCACAGTGGGTCTCAATAGAGGAAAGCTTCTTAGACGCACCATTAGCAACAATATGTTGGACACCCCAAGACAATAGGCCTAAAACACCTGACTTACTATCTATCACACGGCATATGATACAGACATGGGACAAACACAAACACCTTCTGGTACAGACACAAGTGATCCCTAAAGCCACCCCGATATCTGTATTACCGCATAGAATCCCTGACCTCGGTGTGGCTGCTTGGCAGCGCGCAGGGATCCACCACATATCCAGCTTCTACGACAGGGACAAACGATTATCCTTCCAACAGCTAGCGACCAAATATGACTTACCCCAGACCATGCAGTACGCATACCTCAGGATTGCACATTTTTTAGATTCTCAGAGGGAACCTAGACGACAAGAAGACCGGGGCACAACCATGTCCCGATTTGAAAAGATGTGTGTGGGGATCACGCCACCACGGGGACAACTGTCCACATGTTATAGGGCACTAAACCAGAACCTACCCTTCGGCAACTGTAAATATGCGATAGAATGGTCTAAAGATTGTGGGGAGCCCATCTCAGACGTACATTGGACTGAGATCCTGGGGGCACTGAAAGGAGTCACAAACTGCGCTGCACATATAGAATTACATAGAAAAATTTTACTAAGGTGGTACATGGTCCCTGCCAGACTGGCGCACATTTTCCCGGGCAGCTCTCCTACATGTTGGAGATGTGAGAAACAAAGGGGTACGATGATCCACATATGGTGGACGTGCCCGCTCCTTCGGCCATTGTGGTCTGGGATACACGACATAGTGGGAAACGTCGCAAAGGCAATTATCCCTAAAAAACCTATAAATCTACTGCTGCTACACATACCCTCCCAAATAGCATGGGACAGCAAGGTGGTTATAACCCACATCCTCTTAGCCACCCTATATCTTATTGCGAGACACTGGAAACAGACAAGACCCCCCTCGATCGCAGAAGTACTCGCAACAGTGGAGAGAAACAAGACATATGAACTGTCATACGCAGCATCTGAGGGACAGGGAAAACAAAAATCGCTCACATGGCTTGGGTGGGAACAGTTTAGAGAGGGAACTAGAGAAAGAGAAAACAGGCAACCTTGAAGGAAAGCCCTCTATAAGGTACCGTGGTACTGAACCTAAGAGTAGAAAACAACCAGAGCCGACTCAGTTATAAGGGACTCTATAGCCTTATTCAACGCGCTCCTGATATCAGCACAGATAACACACAGAAGAGAGTAACCCTTTTCCCCTAATCCTCATCCCCCCCTTACCCCCCCCACCCCCCCCCTCTTATAAAGAAGGTTCTCGTAGATATGTTACAAATCTACAGTTGTTAGATGACTTTTATACAACCGTAAAGGAGGGAACAAGGAGGGGAGACGGTAGTACATCTTACCTATAGCATTATGTACCAAAGATGTCACAGAATTGTTAACCATAACAAATGGAATTGTAACCAAATACCACTGTATAAAGTCAACTGTGCTCTATCACCGCTTCTAATTCCACTGTACCAAGACATTGTATCCCCGTACCCCCTTTCTCTTCTGTACCCCCCATAAAGTTTTACTATCGGTGAAAATAAAAATTGTCAAATTGAAAAAAAAAAAGAGTCATGGAACTGTATCAGTTTTTCTTCAGTCCAAATTATGAAGATATCATCGATATAGCGATAATATTTGTATTGTTTGGTGTGCTGTATTTTTAGGAATCTCTGTTCTAGATCTTCCATAAGAAGATTAGCATATTGGGGTGCCATCTTAGTGCCCATAGCACTGCCCATGGTTTGTAGGTAAACCTCATTGTTGAAACTGAAATAGGTATGTGTGAGGATAAATAGTGCCAGTTCTGTGATAATTCAGGGGGCTGTGTTTTTGGTTGTCGGCGAGGGAAGAGAGGAAACGGAAGCAAGCATTGATGCCATCTGTATGTGGAATGTTGCTGTACAGAGATTCCACATCCATGGTTACAAGGATGGTGTTAGCAGGGAGATTGGTGATTTGGCTGAGTTTGTTGAGGAAGTCGGTTGTGTCTTTTATGAAGCTGTTGGTGTTGGTGACTAGAGGTTTTAGGGTATTTTCTTCCAGTCCTGAGATCTGTTCTGTGAGCGTTCCCATTCCTGTAATTATGGGTCTTCCAGGATGACGTGCTTTGTGGATTTCGGGAAGCATATAGAAAGTGCCCATTCAGGGACTAGTTGGTATGAGTGATTGCAGTTCTAGATGCAAATAATGCAAATTCTCAGGGAAGGATTTAGCTCCCTAAATTGTAATGTAAATTCCTTGGTGGGGTCTTAATTTAGTTTTCTAGTATTTGTCATCTGACAATTGCCTGTCCCCCTCTTTTATGTAGTCCTGGGTGTTCATTATCATAGTATTTGTATACTACATTCATGCACAAAAACATGCACACACATAACTTTTAACACCTGGTTGGTAATTTAAGACACAAAATGTCGAGCCCTACATACTCATACAAACACATTGTGACGGTTCACACATACCCCCTTATACATACTGCCATGCTACACAAATATATGAAATAAAAATTCCTCCCAAAATAACATGTATTTAAATGTACTCTGAATCCACACATCCTGACAATACACACATAAACATACATGTAAGCACTTACATCAGGCCTCACAGTGACTATACACACAGATATTTACATTCACTTTACACACACATACAATCAAATACATGGTACGTGTTCACCAGCCTGGACTATCCCTTCTATAACATGTATGTTGGCCTGCAGGGGCCCAGGCCCTAATTTTGTTCAGGGCCCAGGATACTGTCAGTCTGTTCCTGTGCGTGGTGGTTATAAATGTTAATAGTACAAGTAAGCATACACACAATGTGCTTCTTCCAAATCTATTAACTATTTTCTACCAACATTGTTAAGAAAAAAACTTAATAAATTAAGTAATGCTCTGGGCAATGTACACCTGGAAACCTTAGGTTCTGGCATTCATGTTAGATACCACCTACCTAGAGACCACATACATCCTTGATGGCAGTGGTCTCTTTTAGCAAGATAATGCACCCTGCCACACTGCAACATTTTTTTAGGAATGGTTTGAGGAACATGATAAAGAGTTCAAGGTGTTGCCCTGGCCTCCAAATTCCCCAGACCTCAATCCAATTGAGCATCCGTGGGATGTGCTGGAACAACAAACCCGATTCCATGAAGGCCCCACCTCGCAACTTGCAGAACTTAGAAGATATGCTGCTAATATCCTGGTGCCAGATACCACACGACACGTTCAGAGGTCTTGTAGAGTCCATTCCTCGATGCATCAGACCTGTTGTTGCAGCCTAAGGGGGGACCTACTGGATATTATGCAGGTGGTTTTATTGTTGAGGATGATAAATGTATATCTCACAAGCACTGCTTCATTGGTAAAGCAAGGCTTACATCTGTATAAAAACATCTATATTACTAATCTAATAAAGTCATGAATTTGTGTAACCAAACCTACTTATTGCACATAAAATGTGTAGATTCTTGGAGTGTCCCCTTAATAGTAAATATAATTTTGGTTGTGTCGCCCACAGAGCACAGGGATTCTACATTTTTGTGTATTCTTATAGCTGAAACCCTTATGACATGAAGATGATCACTTGTAATGCTACACATTTAAATAGCTAATGCATAATGATAGCGTTGTCTAATGAGCCTGAAAATACTTAAATTATTAAAATTCATTTTATTGACTATATGTATTATTAAGGGCCTGGGCATGACGTCATGGGGTAGAAACAGACGATGGCCATACACTGGTCCAGCAGCTCATTGATGAGAAATCTGACATACAGATGTACAATTTGTCCATGACTATTCCAATATATGGGAATTATGAACATACAATTAAACATTTTATGTCAAAACAGCGAGATTGTAATACAAAGTCTCCAGTTCAGCTTTCTATCCCATCTAAGTTATCTTATATTGGATAATGTCTTTTGTTTTCGATAATTTTGTTTATCAATACTTTCTCCTGCATATATTTTACAATGTACGCAAATAGTATGGGATAACGTCAAGCAGGTCTGATGAAGCTTCACCCATACTCACTTACATCTAGAGCTCCTTACATGAAAACCTTTTATTCATTGTTTAATGAATGGAACTACTATGGAATGCCGAATTACATTAACATAAACCCATATCGTGCATTAACGTAAACGCATGTTTATTAGTTATACCATGGGAAAACCTTTGTTATTATCAGGTCTTGTAAGGATTTGCTGGAAGATGCTGCAAATTTTGGGGGTTTGCAGCAAATGCAGGATGATCAAAGATATATTTTTATCCTAATGTATTATTTGGACAACTCAATAAGTTGTGAATCAACGCAAGTCTGGAATATGTTTTTGAAACATGTTATATCATTGAATATATGACTTGATCTTCGTATCCTGATGTTAGCACTTTGCCTTTAAACAAAGGCACAGTACAATTTCTAAGAAATGCTTACTTCTCCCCACTGCATTACTTCCACCCCTGTCCAGAAAAATGTCAGTAATTGAAACCATATATTCAGTTTGATATTCTGTAAAGCAAGTTTCAGTGGGAACCGAGAAACTGGCCTTTTCTTTTAAAAACCAAGTGATACTGACTTGCAGGTGGAAAAACAACGCTCCCTTCGTTTGATCTCATAGAATTAACAGTTGCTCAAATGTGAAACGGGAGATCGCACACTGTTCTTTCTTTAGCGACCTGTGACATACGCGATAGGATTTCCAAGGCAGGAACAATAAAAATGCAAATATTATTTAAAGTAATCCACGTGTGTTGTGGAAGCTAACTCTACATGCGATCGCTCGACAGTAAAAAAAGGACAGTAAATAAATTGGGGTTAAGACAGTCTTATTTTATGTGATTAAAAATAAAAACATAAAAAGTCACTTTACTTTTAAATGCCACACTTTGTATTATTTTTTCTTACATTCTATGATTTAATCAAATTTTTACAAAAATGGATTGACATATTTGGGGTACAAAATGTTTCCTTGTCAATATTGCCATCAATATTTTACAAAATAATCTTATGTAGAAGTCAGGGCTGCCCTTCTTACAAATTAAGTCTGTCAAACCACCAAAGTAGCAAACTCATATATGAAATGATTTTAAATCAGCAATATGCATAAGACAGAGCTGGGTTGCAGGTTACAAAAGCTTTACATTAACAAGCAGGGCTATACATAAGACACGAGGTCACACATTTAGGCTGGAAGAAAGGAGATTTCATCTAAGGCAAAGAAAATGTTTTTTTACAGTAAGAGCAATAAGGATATGGAATTCTCTGCCTGAAGAGGTGGTTTTGTCAGAGTCATTACAGATGTTTAAACTGAAATTGGATAAATACTTGCAAAAACATAACATACAGGGATATAATTCCTAATTAGTGGGGTAATAGCTGCTTGATCCAAGGAGATATCTGACTGCTATTTTGGGGTCAAGAAGGAATTTTTCCTACTAGTTTGTTGTAAAATTGGACTGGGGTTTTTTGCCTTCTTTTGGATCAACAGCAGAAACATGTGAGGAAGGCTGGACCTGATGGACGCAAGTCTCTTTTCAGCTATGTAACTATGTAACAAGCCTAGTCACTAAAGCATCAGATTTAAGGTCAAAGTAGCTGAATTAGAGAATATTTTCAATTCAGGTTTTTCGCTCTTAAATTTAAAGTGCGAAGTATATCAAGTCACCTTCTAAAATGGGATAAGTGCTAGATGCTTGTGTTTCTTGAGGTCTGAAATTCTCATGGTGCTAGTTGGTTATTTGACGAACTATGCCCTTGATTTAATAAGCTTTTCAAATGATCCAGTACTGATAGAAAAACCTTTCAAATGATTTATCTACTAAAATTCCTGTAGACGTTAATGGTGACATCTGTATAAATAATTTGGACCCTATGTGGTTATAATAGTGTAGTTTGGGCCGGGTGGTCGTGTGTGTGGTCTGTGACATACAAAGTGTGGTTTGGATAACTGATGAATCTTGCTATATTTTTATAATATGGGTGAACGATGATGAATGTACTTTGATAGTCTTGACGCAAATGATAAAACAAGCCAGATAGAAGTTGAAGTCTAGGTGTTAAGTACTTGGCTCTGACCTTGGCAAACTTTGACTTTTCTGGACATGCTCAGTGTTAAACATAACCATCAGCCTTGATTCTAAAACAAGCCACTGCGGAAGATGAAAATACACAACTTAGTTTGTATGGCAGAAAGAGGTGATCACCACAGCCTGAGATGACATATTTTAGACGAGGTTACTGCCGAAAAAGCTTAAAAATATATAAGGTAGACAGAAGACATTTCTTGAATTTGTATTACTTGTCAGAAGCTAACGCTGGTGTAGGGATTTGATTGCCTACCCTGGACTCCATCTTCTCTCCCAAGGCTACTGTAAGTAGAGGTGAGTCTGGATAACCCATGAAGGACATTACAAATGTTAAAATAGCTTTTAGCTTAAATGTTGCAGTTTGGATTTTAATTTACCACTATTAACTCTTTCATAAATAAATCGTTTAGGGATACATTTGTATCTCCCTGACATTACCTGTATTATTCCAGTACAGCATAAAGGCCAAGGTTGGTCGCTGGGAGGGTCCTGCTCTGATTGAAAATGTTTTGACAAAAAAAAAATGGCTGGATGATACCCTACATTGCACTGTAGCCACTAAAATAAATTGTAGTAGTTATGGTGCCAAAATTGTCACTTTAAGTTGTTTTGTTTGCGTTTTTCAAAATTCAAAATACATGTTGTTAGCCTACAAACTGTTTGTTTACAATAAAAAAAAAATGCATTTTTCTAATAACAGAACATACAGTGGA